TTGATATAACATTTAAGTAAGGACACTATTGATATTTCAACTAACGACATTATATAGATTATTTTTCGTCAAATTTTCACTTTCTATAAAATCATAGGGGGCCAAATGGTTATTTTGAAATGTTAGAGGATCATATTTACAATAGTTGAAATCAAAGAGGGTTATATGTAATTTACCCTAAGAATTTCACTCCTTGGGCTATACGACAATGAGGTAAGAAATTGAATCAGGAGAGAACAGCGAAATTTCCTTGCAGCTACTCAAGATTTGGTGACAAATTTCTCTCTGAACCAATTAAATTTTCAATTATCAAAACATCTGTGAAGAAAAAGGGTGAGAAGTGCATTCAGCAGTTCTCTATGGGTAGCTGAGGTGTGCGGATGAAATCTACTCTGCCTTTTACAAAACGTAAAAGAACAATGATTGAATAAAAAAAGACAAGAATAGAAAAGGACAACAAATTCTGAGCACTCATCCCTCATGCACTAGATCTCCTGGGAGCTATGTTTTTAGAATCGGACCGGATAGCGACTCGACCAAGGTCAGGGGTCAATGGGTTCGACCGGGAATCGATAGGGGTCGAACCGAATGACGTTATAAATAAAAATTATTTAAAAATTAAAATATTATATTTATAATATCTAATAATATATTGATATTAATAAAGGTATATTCATATATATTTGATGTTTCAAATATATTTAACAAGAAAATATAAAGAAATTAGAACAATTAAGTAGCAATTTATATTATTTAATAAATATTAACAAGTTTAGAATTAAAATTATGAGTTTAATTGAAAAATAACATCAAATTTTAGAACAATATTTATAAAGTATCAAATATTTGAGGTATATCGATAAGTTTTAACAATTTAGGGGGTCAAAACATAATATTATAAAGTTTGAATTTTTTTTTAAAAAAATTACTGTTAAACCGGAAAAATGGGTTTTTTTCCGGTCAAACCCGGTTTTTGACCGGTTTTGACCGGATTTTAAATTTCCGGTTTTTTTATAAGATTCGGACCGGTTATCTGGCCGGTTCCCGGTTCGACCGCCGGTCCGGTCCGAGTTTCAAAACAGAGCCTGGGAGTATCTTATACTGCACTAACAAACGAACAAGAGCAAAATATCAGCTCAGAAATCATTTCTGATCTAGGAAAATTTTCAGGCAACCGTTATTGGCCACAGAGTGCCATGCGCCATCATGCGCAAGGGTGGTCCAGAATAGAAGGGTGGTTAGCTTAAGTCAATTTTTGTCAATTACAAGACCAAAGAATAGCTGGCCTAAAGATCATTCATGACCACAGAACTTGTTAAGGCACAATTTTTTTTTTCCTCTCTAAAAATTGATAGATTCAGTTTATCAGTATTAGTATTTACTATAAATCGCATGCATATAGGTACCAATGTTGATGCCAAAAAGTGTGCAGCTAGCAAGCAAGAAAATGGTTGGCTCTAAGGGAATTGCCATCATTATTTTACTTAATCTGATCTTTTTCACTTGTGTTTCATCTTACAAGGTTGTTCCATGTCCTCCTCCCAGAAAACCTGCTCCGTCTACTACTCCCCCTGCTCCCAAGAAACCTGCCAAATGCCCGAAAGATGCCCTCAAATTTGGCGTTTGCGGTGATTGGCTAGGTCTAGTTCATGAGGTTATCGGAGCAAAACCGAGCGGCGAATGTTGTGCACTGATAAAGGGTCTTGCTGACCTCGAAGCTGCAGTATGTCTATGCACTGCCATCAAGGCCAACATCTTAGGGGCGATCGAGGTTAAGATACCAGTTGCCATTAGCATGCTGATCAATTCGTGTGGAAAGAAGGTGCCAGAAGGCTTCAAGTGTGCATAAGCTTATTTAAGCTACTACGTCTAAATTTATGCATGTGATTGTGATTGTGGCTGTCCTCGTGTTTGAATTGATGGTTAAGTTTGTATGTCAGGATCGATCGTGGCTTTTGACACGGTCATTCTTTTTAGTCCTTAATCGTATTCGTATGATCAAATCAATAAAACATTTCTAGTTCCTTTACAAAGTTAACGTCTCGAAAGAACCATGGAAGATTATCAAAAGAGGCAATCCAGTGATCATTTTCATGGCATTGGAAACAACACTACATCTGCGCAAGTCGGTTGCTTGCTTGCTTGCTTGACTTGAGAAGGTTTTAGTGGTGAAGAAATGATGAATCAGGTTGCTTTCCATTTCATTACTTCCATTCTATCATCCAAGTGATTAATTTCCGTAAATTAACACCGCCAATATTTCTGTGGCTATACATTCTGCTAACATGTCTGTCTAATCAACTAGAGACAACATTGATGATCTATGTATAAGTTGACTTTGTCCCTACTGTCTTCTTTATTGTTTTTAGTCGGTCAGGGGGCAGTGGAAAGGTCCCCTTATCAGTTGTCCCTGTAGAGGTTAGTGCCTTCAGTGGTGGTGGATATGGAGGACTAACAGAGCTTGGTTTAACAAATGTCAAGAGTGTTCACTCGCCCAAAAAAAAAGTGAAGGAATTTGAGAAGATACTTCGGCAGAGATTTTATGCAAAATATTTCAAGCTTCAAAATTATACTACACGACATAATATAGAGCTGGAAAAGGAAATAAAGCATGTACGACATATATAATCTTCCCACATACATTCTTATTTAGACGTGAAATTTTTCTTAAGACATACATTGTTAAGTACCAGTACATCCTGGATAAAACAGTGATGATGAATTATTCTTTCTGCCCGTGCTCTGTCGCTGAACGGAAGACATGATCAGATTGACAGTCCTAATACCGGCATGCAAGTGACACTACTTGGACAGCTTGCTCGACGGTAAGGTTTGCTATAGGTTGCCCCGTGACACTAGACTTGATCACATATATAGCAAACAAAAGAACAAATATCTGCCGCATTTAGGCCTCGTAAGCCTCTGCAACAAAGGGCTTGTGGGATCCCGTAGATTCCTCCCGGACTACCAAGAAAAATAGAACAGGCCGCCACTGTTTGCAGATCAAAAGAACAGGAACATCCTGTGGGAGCTGGTGAAATCCATGCAGGTGCCGGGGAACTGTTAGAGCTGGGCAAGGGTGCTGGAGTTGGAGTGTGATCAGCAGTTGGGGCTGAAGTCGGTGTAGAAATGCTAGAGCTAGGCAAGGAAGCTCGAGTTGGAGCGTATGTTGGAGAGTTTCCCATGACTAAGACAAAGCAGAAAATGTTAAAAAGCAGGAGAGAATACAAAGAATTGATGCTGGGAACCATTTTCAATGCTTGAGAACAAAACTAATTGGTTTTAGCGTATGTTAGTGTTGCGAGCACAGGAGACTTGTATGTTGAATTTATATGCAGAGTTTTCAGTCGTAAAACGTTTCGCACTTCAATTTCAAATGTATACCTAAATCCTACATGCGTTGCTTCACTCAAGAAACTGACTATGCTGAAATGAAACAGCGGATTATCACTCAAAATTGATAAAACTATATTAATGGGCTTTGTAGTTTTCAAGGTTTTTAAAATTTTACATCCTTGAATTTCGTAAAATTATTTCCTTTAGTGACATTGCCTCACCCCTTTAAATCTCAGAAATTCCCTTTTCATTATGTATTACTGTCCTCTTAACGATTAATAAAATTTTGTTCCCCCTTAAAGTACAAAATATTTCTAATAGTTACCTTTGAAAAGTAGGGAACCTAGTCAAAATTAAACATTGACGTCAAAGTAACCAAAAAAAAAAAAAGGCTTTCCATAATTTGCATAGTACTAAAATCTAAGAGAGCAATTTACACTTATAGACTTGTAGGATTTGATGGTTCCCCCTCTCCTGGTCTTGGTTTCACCACTAGCAACTATAGTAACTATCCACATTTTGTAAAGCCCATCATACACCGTTCAATTAGGCACTAGAAACACTACTACTAATCAACCATTAGGTAAGACATTTGGTTTGAATAAGAAATTGATTACGTTAGGCAATCGTTGATTTTGCATGATAGCAATTTTACCCTTCTTGATTTTGCCAATTGGTAGTGATCTTTGAAATTGCCGGTGGCATCACCGTGAAAAGGGACCAAATTGGCTAAGTATGAAAGTTAGAGGATGGTATTGTCCTATTTTACAGTAGGAGAATCAAGTTAATTTGAATCAGTTAAAAAAATAAAAAATAAAAAATTTCCGCCGAAGATTTCCACATTGTTTTTGACAGAACAAACAAAAATTACCATCAGCTCAAGTATATGTTGCCATGATTTGCAGTAATACCTAATAACTCTTACATACGAACTGTTCACTAAACTTTTTCAAAATCTCATTTAGTCCATTATGCTATTTGTCCATTAAGTAAACTTCTAGGAGTAATCAATTGAACCATTCTTTTACTTGCTAGATTGAAAGGACACGGGATTTCACCGCAAGTGAGCCACGTACCATACCTGATAGGGCATGTTTATCCTTTTGCACATCAAAAATTGTACACTGGGCATTTTGGCCAAAGGAGTTATGGGGAAGAAAAATGCTTTTCTAATCAAATTCTGCCATTCACCATGATGCAATCTTTTATTCTTTCCCTATTCCAATATGCCAACTTTTGCAAATATTACTAGAGATCAGGCGGGAGGAATTGAAAGTAAGAGATTCTAAATTCAAAACTTTCTACTTACAAAAAAAAAATAAATGAATAAATAAATGCGAGTGCGGGCATTTAGATATTTATTATTAACCATATAGATTAAGGGTGAAACGCACGGGATCCACGTCGGATGTCGTCTTCCTCCGCTTGGCGAGATGGGATTTGCTCGATGTTGACATGGCGCGAATTGATTGGTTGTCAATTGTGCTTGTTGCACGTGATTCTGCCTTCCCTTCCTTCGTCCGGTCTTTCGTTGCTTCCGGTTCTATGATGTCTTTTCTTCTTTCCGCTTGATCAGCCTCCTCTCTACCCACTCATCAGCTTCCTCTCTATCCACTCCAAGCTGCTTCTTTTTTTTTCAGCCACATATTGGTGTTGTTTCCATTCCAAAATTTACCTTGGTAGCACCTGATTTTTTCTCTCCTCTCTCCTTCGTTCATCTTTCCTTCCGCTTGTTTTTGCTACTGTGTTGCTTTCTGCCCGCTTCTTTCTCCCTTTTCGGCCAGACCCTGAGGCTGTTTTAGCCAGACAAACCTGTTTCCTCTCTTTGTTTCTTGCTCTTCCTCAGTTGTCAGAGAGCAGGTGAGCTGCTCTTGCAAACAGCGGCCCATGTCAAATCACACCCACCTCTCTTCGATTTTTTGTCACAAAATGTCTAGAGTTACAAAATTTACTGTCCTCTCTCTCTCTCTCTCAAGACTTCTGCCGTCCCTCTCTTTCTTCTCTTCCTCTCAGTAGCTTGTCTCTTTTCCAGTTCTTCCTCTTTTTTTTTTCCTCCAAAAAAAATACTCGTGCTTCCGTTTGCTTTGGTAAATCGTTATTTGTATCAAAGAAGGCTTGGAGTTCTTTTTATTTTTCAGTTCTTTCGTTCTTTAGTCTTCGATCTAACTATGTATTTTACTCATTGCTGTTTTCTAGGTTTGAAGCAAGTGTTCTTTAGATGGGCGATAATACAGACGAAGGAAAGGGATCTAAGGTAATAAATCTTTTTTTTTGAGCCAAGAATTTAGAAGTCCATGTTTGACATACTTACTTTTCATATTTTTATATTTTCATTTATGGTTTTAGAGATTTGATTGAGAACTTTTTTTTTTATTATTGTGAAAAGAATTTTCTCTTTTATTCCATTCGATTCACAATTTTTCCCTCTATTGTACAGAGAGCAGACAGTGTCAATGGATGAAAGGAAGATAAACCTGGTTCTTTTATTTTTGGAAGTAAAATTGACGGGAAGGAGCAAAAAAGATTTAACTTTTTTAAGTTTGAGTTTTTCTTTAGTTTACTTTTGAATCATTTTTCTAATTCTATGCTAAACTAGACCTCCAAGTTTCTACTTTCTCTTCGTTTTTTCATTTTTATTGAAGGTTAAAGGTTTTAATGTCTTGTTTAGTTATTGGTTTTGCTGCTGCTCGTAGTCTTACTTTGGCATTGCTTTCCTTCGAGTATTTGTAAGTGTTTTTTGATCTCTGAGTTTTGTTATTTGTAAGTGCTTTGGTTTCATTTTGCATCATCCAAAACTTTCTAATGCTAATTTCATTCATAGTTGGTTTGCCCTTTATATTTTCCTCTTAGTGGGTTTTCCAATGCGATGCTTTTTTAAATTAATTATCTATTTTTAAACCTGGGTCTACGGAAAAAGATAAGTGAGCCAAACAAAATTTACATATAGCCTAATGTTAATTGAAGCATTTGGTTGTAGAATCCAATATAATCCAACTCTTTATCTTCTGCTTACATATACATATATGTACATATATTTGCATATTATTAATTCTTCGCCTTTCACTATTGAATTTCAATACATGGTTTATTTGTCTTTTGCATTGTGTTTTATAATGAAAAGTTTGTGAAAACTTACTATTTGTGTTGTCTTTGTCTATCCACTTGGAAACATTCACAGATACGTTAAGTGATCCAAGAGTACTTGAAAACTACTAATTACATGCCCATGATAGTTTTGGTCAATTTCCCTGTTCTCATGGAAAAATAAATTCTTTGAATCCTCTCAAAATCCCCTGAACAACATTTTTTCAAAATGGATAATCTCTTATTAAAGCTATGGTATATGTATTATGAAGGCTTTCATGGAATTGTGATAAAGTTTGAGGTAGTGATAGAAGATATGCCTCGGGCTGCGAAGTGTTTGGAGATTTTTCTTTGAGGACGTTGATGATGGTAGATGTATTTAGTATTGAGTGATGTAGTAGAGCTTTTGATATATTGTGATTTACCTTAGTTGTGGCCTTAGAGTGGTCCATTAGTTGTGGCCTTAGAATCCAGTGATTTTGTGTAGTGTATTTGAGTTGTTTGAGAAAATGTCTAAGTAAAAATTTCATCCAATTTATGGTGATCTTATAATAGAACTTAAGGCTATCTATAACTGAGTGTTACCATGCAAAATATAGTGATGTTGCCCTATAATTGGGACTGATATTTGAAGAATTGCAGAGAAATTGGATTCTCTATGACTTTCGGATTGACATTACAAAGAAATTTTTATTATGACGTTTTGCAGATCTGCATTAGCTGTATCAACAGTATCCATGTGGACCGTTGCTTAAAATGGGGAGAATTTTGAGTTTTTCGGCGGCTGTTGCAGTAAAACATTTGATATATGACATTGAAAGTAGACTGGTATGATTGCAAGGCTGGTTGATTGCTGTTATTGGAATGGTATTAAAATGTAAATAGCTGTGATCTTTCATTTAGCTTTCAAAAAGGGTTGGCTAAAATGTCTCACTTTAAATTCATGTCACTATTGTGCATTTTGGTTCCTTCTTCGTAACGTAATGCTTCATTTGTTTCTGGCGATTTTTCCTGCCTTCTTTGCAGACATCTTCTTTTTATCTTCATATTTATAAGATTTGTTTCACAGAAAAGAAAATACAAATTTTAGGAAAGCAGCCATCCGATTTATTTCTTGCTACCATTTCTTTAGTTCTAAGTGAGCAGATCCCTTTTGCAGGCAAGAGTATGACATTGTAAGTGTGCGTACACAGTTCCCTTAGAAATTGTAATTGAATTTCAAGCTTCACAGTTTTCATTTCCCTCTTTGATGGCAGAATATTGTTTTGAATATGCATTAAATTTGAAATGCTTAGCTGTATACACTTCTAACAACCCAAGCAGTAAAATAATATGGTTTAGCAATTTGTTTGGATCATAACATTTAAGGGCTTTGATATGCTAATGGCTTATTTTCTAAGATCAAAGCTCTTTGGGAAGCTGCAGTAAGGATCGCAGGCTATATCAAATGTTATTTGGAAGGTCTAATGCATGCATTCTGCTTTCTGGTACAATTTGATGGAAAGATGTTGCATATGCAAGTTGAATGCTGTTCTAAGTGTTTGCATAACCAATTGGACACCTTGCACCCTTTTGGTCTTCTTGAATGTTTAGCTGTGATCATACTGCTTCTCAAAGGTAGTTAGACAGTTGGATGTGGTGTGTTACCAGGGATTCTTAAATCATTTTTCAGGTGTTTGAAACTCAACCTTGTAGGCTCTAAGGGTACATGTCCTAACTCTTAAAATTGCTTGTGTCTATTCTAGATACTAAGCCTTTTTGCCTAGTAAAACTCATAATTTAAAGTTAAGCATGTTGAAAGTTGTATGAGCCTCCAAAATTTGTACATATCTGAATATGCTGAAGTGTCCAGTGCTATTTTGTTTCAACAACACTCTAATCCAAAAATGATTTTATTTAGTATAAGAAGTTTGAATGCGGAGTGATGAATGATTAGACATTGTTTGAAACTTTTGAGTTTTCTTAAAAATTAATGTGTCTGCTTTAATGTTCTAATCCAAAAATGATTTTATTTAGTATAAGAAGTTTAGATGCGGAGTGATAAATGATTAGACATTGTTTGAAACTTTTGAGTTTTCTTAAAAATTAGTGTGTCTGCTTTAATGTCATCGTTAAAACTATTTGTAATAAAGAAACTGCACTTTCTGCTGTGATTTATTTTTGTTGTTCTTTTTAATAGCTTGATGTTTTCTTGGGGTTTGGGTCACTGCTGGTTTTGAGGGCTGATATACAGATACAAAATGTGCGTATTTGAGACTTCAGAGCTGAAATTCATTTTTTGTATTTTATTGGCCCAGATATTTGGACCTTGGAGAAGAAGGATTTCATTTGTATATTTGTCAACATGCTATAGTTTTTAATGTCAATATGTCAAAGGGTTACTTTAGATAAGGAACAAGATCTCATAAGCATGTTAATGAATGTCTAGGCTTGCGGAATTGTTTACACAAGCCACTAATGTTTTTACAGTATACCTTTAGAAGAAAGATCTGCTAAGTCGCCAGTTATAGTATAAGATCTTGTCATAATATATATATATATATATATATATGTGTGTGTGTGTGTGTGTGTGTGTATTGGTGTAGATAAGCTTTCAGTTTTCAAACATCACTGCAACTGATGTTATGAGGTACTTTTCAGTTGCATATTTTAAGCTTTAAGCTTTTGGACTTCTGTGCACGTGATATTACTAATAAGGTCCCTTCCTGCTATAGATTGATGGTTGTGTTTCACCAAGTACAACTTATCATTGAGTTAAGTAAATCTGATAAAAGGAATCATGGTTCCATGTTTACATGAGCAAGAATCTACTCAATTCAAAGGATCAAGATATAATCGAAATGTTGATACTCCAAAATTTTGGTTTTTGGTTATGTTTCACATACCTTAGAGGCAAATCACCAGAGAAATTCATAAGTTCATATAAGTGCTTCTTTTTATAAGAAACGGGATCCAGAAGTTTGACAATCTGATATATTTGTGTCCAGAAGATTGAAATTCATATGATGTTTGACAATCTGATATATTTATGTATTTCATTCCAGATGAATTTCTGATACTATTTTATTTTTGCTGTTGTCAGGAGCAACATTATCTGTGATAACAAACATATGATTGTTGGACTTTCTGATGGGTCATTGTATAATATATCATGGAAGAAAGATGTAGTGTGAATGTAGCAGTTCCTCCATGTCTTTCAAATGCACATTGAAGAAGCATATTTGTAGCTTAGGCACTGAATTCATTTTTTAGCACCATTATAAAATGCTGTGTCTATTCCCTTTCTACTTGCTTAACATGATGTTAATGGAGATTGAAAAGCATCCAGAAACCCGCATCTCCCTCTCAAAAAGGTTCAATCAGGTTATCATTTAACTTATTCTGTGATGCAGTTCTGTGGGGTTGTTGATCTTGACATTTCACTCTCTGATGGAAGTGGAGCTGATAAATTGTCTCATTCTTTGGACAATGGTCTTCCTTCTAATGGAGCACAAGGTGTTTCTCTTCCCATGAATTATATGAGGAAGAAGTCTGCTATTGTGCACATGGGGTTTTCCTTCTCACTGAGGTTACTGCTTTTGCTCTTTTGTGATCGACAACTTGTGTCATGTTCTGCAAGTAAGAAAGGATTAAAGCAAGCTGATTTAATTAAAGTCGAAAAGAAACTGGCATCTGGTTATGCTGTATGTGCATCAGTTGCTTCAGAGCAACAAATTCTTGCTGTGGGTACAAAAAGGGGAGATGTTGAATTGTATGACCTCACAGATTCTGCTTCCCTTGTTCATGCTGTTTCTTTATATGGCTGGGGGAAAGTGGTCTGTTTTAAATTGCACGGAAGAACACTTATTTGCTGCATTCAACCTTCTCCTTCAACAATCAGGCTGTCTCGAGCAACTGCGTTGAACATTATAGCTTCGTACTTTTTGGATGATCTTCTAGGCGTTCATCAGCTCAACTTTCACAATCTAAACATTCAAGATGAAAACTAAACTTGTTTGCCTTTCATATTTACAATGCCTGTATAATTACAGCTTCTTTCCAGTGCTACCAATTTTTCCCTCAAATTCCTGTATGATATAGGGCCTGTTTGGAACCTGAGTTTTTTGGGAGTTTGTCTAAAACTTTACTGTAGTGCACTGTAGAAGTTTTTGAAAAAATTTTGTAGAAGTTTTTGTAAGGTAAAAAACTTTTTTGTAGAAGTTTTTGAAATGTTACTGTAGACGTTTTTAGAATTATTTTTAGAGGTATTTTTAAAACATATTTTTGAGTATTTTATAATTTATAATTTTATAATTTTATATTTTTAAATATTTATGCATTTATAATACATTTATAAATATTTAGAAATAAATATATTTATATATTTATTTAAAAATATATAAATGTATTATATTATATATAATACATAATATACATATATTTATAAATTTATAAATGTATAATTAATATAAATGTATAAATTATAAATGAATATTATATAAATGTATAAATTATAATTTATAAATGTATATGATGATTATGTATAAATGTATTAATATAATTAATATAAATGTATAAATGTATAATTAATAATGTTTATAATTTATAATTTTTATTGTTTAAATATTTATATGCATTTATGCATTTATAATACATTTATAAATATTTATAAATAAATATATTTATATATTTATATAAAAATATATAAATGTATTATATTATATATAATACATAATATACATATATTTATAAATGTATAAATGTATAATTAATATAAATGTATATATTATAAATGAATATTATATAAATGTATAAATTATAATTTATAAATATATATGATGATTATATATAACTGTATTAATATAATTAATATAATTGTATAAATGTATAATTAATATTTTATTGTTTAAATATTTATATATATTTATGCATTTATAATACATTTATAAATAAATATATTTATACAGTTAAATAAAAATATATAAATGTATTATATTATATATAATACATAATATAAATATATTTACAAATGTAATAATTGTATATTATTATAAATGAATATTATATAAATATATAAATTAATATATTATAAATATATAAATATATAAATATATAATATTATGTATAAATGTATTAATATAATTAATATAAATGTATAAATGTATTAGTATTATGTATAAATGTATAATTAATATTGTGTGTTAATATTATGTATAAATGTATTATATTATACATAATACATAATATAATTGTATATAAATATACATAAATATAGGTACATAAATGTGTAATATATATAATATGTATTATATATATTAAATATATAATATATTATATTTATATAAATGTATAATTACATATTTATATTAATATTAATTTATATGGTATATAATATTTATTTAAATATATAAAAATATTTTTTAAATAAAATAAAATTTTTATAATATGTTTAAATATATCCTAAACAAAATAACTCTATAATCGCATTATTAATATCCCTACATAAAAAAGTAGACACAATAACAGAAAAGGTCAGAGTCCTACAAATAGATAAGTTTGAAAAAGACTTAGAAGAAATAACGGACCAATTTAAAAGATTACCTGTAACAAAGAAAGAGAGTAAACCACATCTTAGTAATATATTTTCAGTAAATCCTAAACCACAAAAATTCTAAAAGATGGCTAGTAGAACATCATTTTCAGGACCTAGTAGAACAGTCAACGAAAACACACAAGTAGGAACTAGTGTATTAAATATAGGGAGACAATTAAGAAGGAGTAGGAGCATGCATTTAGAAGAGGCAATAGACGTAGATAGAGACTTGGAAATATACAGGAAATAAATATATTTATATATTTATTTAAAAATATATAAATGTATTATATTATATATAATACATAATATACATATATTTATAAATTTATAAATGTATAATTAATATAAATGTATAAATTATAAATGAATATTATATAAATGTATAAATTATAATTTATAAATGTATATGATGATTATGTATAAATGTATTAATATAATTAATATAAATGTATAAATGTATAATTAATAATGTTTATAATTTATAATTTTTATTGTTTAAATATTTATATGCATTTATGCATTTATAATACATTTATAAATATTTATAAATAAATATATTTATATATTTATATAAAAATATATAAATGTATTATATTATATATAATACATAATATACATATATTTATAAATGTATAAATGTATAATTAATATAAATGTATATATTATAAATGAATATTATATAAATGTATAAATTATAATTTATAAATATATATGATGATTATATATAACTGTATTAATATAATTAATATAATTGTATAAATGTATAATTAATATTTTATTGTTTAAATATTTATATATATTTATGCATTTATAATACATTTATAAATAAATATATTTATACAGTTAAATAAAAATATATAAATGTATTATATTATATATAATACATAATATAAATATATTTACAAATGTAATAATTGTATATTATTATAAATGAATATTATATAAATATATAAATATATAAATTAATATATTATAAATATATAAATATATAAATATATAATATTATGTATAAATGTATTAATGTAATTAATATAAATGTATAAATGTATTAGTATTATGTATAAATGTATAATTAATATTGTGTGTTAATATTATGTATAAATGTATTATATTATACATAATACATAATATAATTGTATATAAATATACATAAATATAGGTACATAAATGTGTAATATATATAATATGTATTATATATATTAAATATATAATATATTATATTTATATAAATGTATAATTACATATTTATATTAATATTAATTTATATGGTATATAATATTTATTTAAATATATAAAAATATTTTTTAAATAAAATAAAATTTTTATAATATGTTTAAATAAATATATAAATATATAATATATATAATAAATTTTTGAGGGTGAGGGACTAAAAAATTCAAAAATTTTTTTGAGGTTACCGGCGGCGCCGGAATAGGTGACCGGCGCCGGGAGAGGTGGTGGAGGCGGGTGTCTGGTGTGGTGGGTTGGGTGAGGGAGGAAGAAAAGTTTTTGAGAAATTTTTTGTGTATAGATTTTTGAAGTGTGTAGGTAAAAAACTTTAAAAGGTATTTTGGGGTTCCTGTAGCAAAAGTTGTTAAAAAACTAGTAGCTAAAAAACTTGGTAAAAAACTAGGGTGCCAAACAGGCCCATAGCTCCATTTTCTACCGCTAATTTTCATTCTCGCCAATATTACTAGCTAAACGTTAATTGGGCATGTATACCACCGCGCACAGCGCGGTGTTACCACCTAGTATAGTGAAAAATGTGTGCTAAGGAATAACATTAGGACATTCCTTGGAAAAATCCTGCAAATTTTTATAATCATTATTCGAACGAGCAATGTAAAGAATAATTCAAGCATGATACCCTGCTAAGCCTTATCAAATATTTAGTTTATCCAACTTTCAACATCTTGCTCCCTAAATTTAATCCACGAAGCTCCACAAATGAACTCAATAAACTTGTGATAAATCTCCGGTAGCTGAGTGTCCACCGGAAATCTGACTTGAGCAGCTACCCAGTTTAAGTATTCAAACTGCAAAGGTTTCATTGCCAAATGGATATGATCATAAAGTATTCAAACACCTGCATCGTAGTAAATCTAGTGGAAATAACAAACACCCATGAATAATCTCTGGAACTTTGATTACCGGATCAAGTGGAAGCCTATGAGTATGGTGCTTGGGGATCCTGTTCTCCTCCAGAAGCCGGTAATGTTGTTCAACATCATGCAACATTTCTTCCTTTGGTGGTAAAACCACCTTCCCTGATAAAACAGATGCAACCCACTTGGCTTGTACTTCGATCATGAAAAATGTGACAGCCTGTTAATACACAATATCATCAACTGTTGGGATTAAATTGTTGCTTGCTTGTTTGAAACTGTCAACCAACATCTTACCGTGCAAGTTTTCCTGTATGACTATTGTACAAGTTTTTCAATGCAAAGTTTATTTTGCACAACGTGGTATACTTAGGTACCGTTTGAATTAACCTTGGAAAAACGTATGCAAGATAAATATGCCAGCTGCAAAATCTCATAAACTGACCCTATAAGGTAGTCCAACAAAAGAGAGCCCTGGGGCAAGTACTGGAGGAAAGACGTGCTTGTACAATGGTCCAACACGGTTTTCATCAATAGTTACAGTGTCATTCGTCCTCAAGAAATAAAAATCATACTTATACCTGTAAAATGTCAAATTCAGCAAACACGTTAAGGGGCTTAGTATTAGCAGGCAACATTTAAGAGACAGTTTTAAGAAGAAGAGCAAACTCTGACACGCAATGCATTCAGTTAACAAAATGAGGAGGTAATTACCCGGTACAATGCAGAATGATATCTGCAGCAACAGAAGTTCCATCCTGGAAAGCTACTAGACCATTTTCATAGCAATACTCGATCTATGAGAAGTTTCAATTGTTAAATTTCTTTAGTCCACAAATGTAGGTTTTTCATACTGTGACTCCAGCATGTTCAGTACTCAATGGAATGCAGGATTACATACTTTTGAATGCTGCCACAAATTGTTGAACATCTCCAACTTTGAAACTTTGATCTCTGGAGATCTTGAAGAAAGATGAACTTCTTTGGCTACCTTGGTGATTTCTTGACCAATATCCATGGCACTAGGTCCAGCACCAATAACAATTACAACCTGTATTTTTCACCAACTTGGACAATGTAGGATTTTGCATATAATCTTACCACATAATTTCCAATCAAGTACAATATTGCAAACAAGTACCTGATCTCGGAATGGTTCAGGAACTCGATAGTTGTGGCTGTGAATTTGTTTACCAGGCCAACTTTTGATTCCTTGAAGGAACCAGAAAGTAAAATTAGCATCCAGTACAAAACTCTGATCAAGTAATTTTACCTTTTCCTCTTTTTGTTGGTAATGAAGGATTCATCCTGATTAATCAACTACCATCAAGTACAAAAACCAC